ATGCACCAAGAGCTTGTAACACTCCAAAGAGAAAGGAAAAATTGAAATCGCATCATATGACCCCTTTAAATAATCTGTTTTTCATATAATTCTACAAATTTAATCTACACTTCAGTTACTAACTGTAAGAAAACAAAAATTAACTAAAATTGCTAAATAAAGCAGCCTGTGCCAATTACACGTACATACATTCAAGTTGGCCTATGTTTATCACGTTCATATTGTTTCACATGTTAATGTTGAGAAAAACAATAATATCCACATGCTTCGGTGAAAGTTGGCTCCTCAGTCTGATATCAATAAGCACTAACACAGACGTTCCAGCATTTTCTGTAAAACCACTCTCTGTCCAACAATGCATTAAGAGCCAGGGGTGTAAACTTTTTGAACAGAAGAAAGATTTTTACATTTTTCTTATTTTGTCAAAATATATATTTTCTTCATTTAGTACTGCCCTTCAGAAGCTACAGAAGATACTTATATGTTTCCCAGAAGACAAAATAAGTAAAATTTACCCTGATCTTCAAATTCAAAAAGTTTTCACCCCCAGCTCTTAATGCATCGTTTTTCCTTCTGGAGAATCAGTGAGCGTCTGAACCTTCTGTAATAGTTGCATACGAGTCCCTCTGTTGTCCTCAGTGTGAAATCCATTTTGAGATGGATCTCAAAACCATACAGTAATTTTTGGAAAGGGTTCAAATACACAAAAATGCTGTGGGACCTGAACGATTTTTCTGAAGAAAAGCAGCCAGTTTAACGGTTCAGGACAAACAAGGGACTCATGAACAACTATCACTAAACAAAACAAACAAAAAAACATTGCTGTGGGTCATTCAGGTAACAACACAGTATTAAGAATCGTATGTAAGCGTATGTAAAATTTTGAACGGGGTAATTTTTATAAATTCAACTATTATTATCTCTTAACGTCTTTTATGTGAAATATCTTATTCAGGTCGGTACTAAATAAAAAATAATATGCATTTTGTATGATCCCTCTTATTTTGGTAAAATAATTAACATTTTGCAGATTCTGCAAGGGTATTTAAACTTTTGACCTCAACTGTAGCAAAAGTTAAATTATACTCACATGGTGTTTCCAGCTGATGTCATACTGCGTAGACACTGAAAATGATGTCGCTGATCAGAAAAAAAGACAGATTCAGATATGTTGATCTTGATCTAGAGATAAAGTTACTATACTTTCACGCAGAGAAAGCTACAGACTGTATGAGATATATGTTGTACATGCCATAATTTGCTCATAAACATGCGCGAAGAGTAGATTTGATTCTAAAAAAAACTGTACTAAATAAAGCGGCTGCAAAGTGTTTCAGACTGGACTTGAAATATTTCGCCTGCTCTGATTGTTAATTCAAAGCAAAATAAATATCACTTTACCTATGAAAAGAATCAAAGCGCTCACTAATGCACGTTTACTTGGAAGCAATTTTGTCCCTCCCACTACGGAAGTAGTCAAGCTTCTGTTCGCGGGAAGTTTTTTTTTTTATCCTGGGAAATGTAGTTTAGAGATTCATTAGGTATAGGTGAATGGGCGATACAAAAAACCACATTTCCCAGCGTCAAGACAGTTTTTGTACTAGATCTGTGAGTGTTGTCGTGCTCAATGTGAAAAAGGCTGGCTATCGGTGAGTTTTGTTTTGTGTGAAATACATGTTATGCGATGCGAATACATGAAATATATGTTTTAGTTGTTTAAACGATGGTTATATAGATATAAAGTGATCTGTCAGCCTATTTAAAAATAGACTAAGGTGGCACCATGATACAGTTATGGAATCAGTTCGTGCTCGATAGAATTAATTATTTTTCATCCCCCCCTTCTCTCTCTCTCTCTCTCTCGCTCTCGCTCTCGCTCTCGCTCTCTCTCTCTCACTCTTCCCAAAACTCTCTCTCACCCCAAAACACACACACAGTCTCTCGCTCTCTCTTGCTCTAAAGGTGGACTCGGTGATGGATTTTCCAGAAGACTTTAACCAGCTTGACTTGCTGGAGTCTCATGGCCACATGATCCCAGTAGGGACAAAGAGCGGCTGGGTGGATGAGGAGGAAGGAGATGATGATGAAACTTGTCACACTGAAGAATGGTATCAGCAACAGGAGTTTAAATTACAAGACACTCCAACTGAACTGATATTATGGGCCGCTGAGAGGAACAGAGTAAGCAAACATATTTCATATATATCCAGGGGTTAAATTGGAATTTATATGGGGGGCTCTGTGGTTTCAGGCTTTGAATGGTGCACTAGGGTGCAAACCATACAAAATATTATATCAGTTGACAAACTGTAAAATATAAGTTGAGAGAGCTTGAATTAGTAAGAACAAGAAAAGTGTAAAATATATACCCTATAATGTTAAAAATGTATGAGGAAAGTCCACTGATTAGGGACCAATGATATCTGTTACATTTTTTCACAAATTCCATTTTATTTTATTTATTTATTTTTGTTTCCAATTCAGCTTTTTCCATTAAATTTTTTTCTGGATTCTGGATTTCTGTATTTTATTTAAAAAATTTTAGGGTCCGAGCACCGGTGGTGCGAGGACCCTATAGAGTGGGGGAACTATGATGTCACTTTGTAGGTGGATCGGCTGCTAGCATCGCACTGGTTCCCTCGAAAAAAGCCAATAGGATTTTTCCATAGGCTTTTGGATTATCACAAAAAATAAGCTCTGTGTTCAATCATAGTTCATGAAACTTTTTTTTTTTTTTTATGGAATTTTTGCATACATATAAAAAGGTATTACATCTGTTGCAAAATGAGATAAGGTGTCTGATCAGAAGAAAAACAAGAAACAAAACTTAACAACAAAGAACCCCTCCACCCATAACCCACCCCAAGGGCCACCGAAATAACACACAAAAAATAAAAATAAGGATATCAAAAAGCAACAGACAATACAATAAAGTCTAACCAAATGAACCCCCCATAAGGGTCTAGTCAGAAGGTCCAGATGTCACAGTAAGGTTCTCAATAGTACATAATATAGGGCTCCACATTTTGTAAAAGGCCCTCAGTGATCCTTTGGAAGAATGTCTAATTTTTTCTAGGTGGATACATTGCAATACCTCTCATGTCCAATCCTCATGTGATGGGGGAGAGGCATGTTTCCATTTAAAGAGGATAGCACGCCTGGCCAACAAAGTGGTAAAGGCAATGACGCACTGCAGGTGATGCAATTGAAGTTGGGGAAAGGCCAAACAGGACAGTCAACGCGTTAGGGGCAATAGTGGTATTAAGGGCCTGTGAGAGTGTTCTAAAAATGTCAAACCAATAGTCTGTTAGCATTGGGCAAGAAAAGAACATATGGAGATGATCAGCTGGAGATTGTTTGCATCTATTGCAGGCATCACTTCTGTTAGGAAATATTTTAGCCAGTTTAGCATTAGTGAAGTGAGTTCTGTGAAGCACTTTACATTGTATTAGGGCATGTCTAGCACAGATGGATGAAGAATTAATTAATCCAAGAATGTTCTTCCACTGGTCCTCCGATATGTCAATACCCAAATCTTGCTCCCAGGTTTGCTTAAGAGAGTCAACTGGAGATGGAGTAAGGGAAGTTATTTTACCATAAATGGTAGATATCAGCCGTCTTTGACCAGGGTCGAGAGTAAGAATTAAATCAAGTTCTGATTCAGGGGGCCGATTTGGGAAATGGGGAAATAATTTTTGAATAAAGTGCCTCACTTGAAAAAAACTAAAAAGATGGCTATTAGGAAGGTTGAATTTAACTGATAAAGAGGGGAAAGAGGAGAAGATTTCTTTTTCATACAAATCGTTCAACGTAAAAAGACCCTTAGTTGCCCAAATATCGAAAACCCGGTCTGAAAGGGACGGAGGAAATAAATGATTATTGGAAATCGGCATGTAAATGGAAGCTTTGTGTAAACCGAATTGTTTCCTGAATTGATGCCAGATCTTAATAGAATTAATAACTACCGGATTGCTCGAAACTTTGTGTAGATCAAGAGGAAGCTGAGAACAAACATTAGAAAGTAAGAAACGGGAGGAAGATATTTCTATGTGTAACCAGGGTGGGCTAGAATCACAGCATCTATGGCTAACCCAGTAAAGTAGCTTATTGATATTACATGCCCAAAAGTAGCATCGAAAGTTTGGAAGTGCTAAACCCCCTTCAGTTTTGGGAAGCTGGAGAACGGATTTTCTGATACGTGCTGGCTTGTTACTCCAAAGGAACCCATTTAATTGCTGGTCTAAATTAGTAAAAAAGGGATTATTAATGCAGACTGGGACATGCTGAAAAAGATACAAGAATTTTGGTAGGATGATCATTTTAATAAGATTAGCGCGACCTATCAGAGATAAGGAAAGGGAGCTCCACCTAACAAAATCAGATTTACATTTGTCCACAAGTGGTATAAAATTCTTAAAAAACAAATTTTTAAACGAATTGGTAATAAATATGCCCAGGTATTTGAACCCATCCAAGGCAAGCTTAAAGGGGAATGAAGAGAGAGGAAGAGATTTAGCCATTTGATTAATGAAAAATAACTCACTTTTTTGAAAGTTTAACTTATATCCTGATAAACAGCCAAACTGCTCTAGAATGGATAGTATAGGGGGGAGAGAGGCTATAGGGTCAGATATGTACAATAGCAAATCATCCACATAAAGGGAAAGTTTATGGACCAGGCCATGGCGGATAATGCCTTTAAATGTATCATGACTACGAAGCCAGATGGCCAAAGGTTCAATAGCTATATTAAATAGCAAGGGCGAGAGTGGACACCCTTGACGTGTCCCGCGTTGGAGCAAAAAGGGTGGCGAACGAACACCATTGGTATGCACTGATGCAGACGGGAAAGCATAGAAAAGTCGAATCCAAGAAATGAATTTGGTGTCAAACCCAAATTTACCTAAAGCAAAGAACAGGTATTCCCACTAGTGCTGGGCGGTATGACCAAAAAAACACAACCCATTTTAATACATGTTAACCAGGAGTCACTCTCATTTATAATGGCGGCATCGTCTGATAAAATCAACATGCATCTACACTAAAGATCAGCTATGCGGTTGTTTCGGCTATATTATTTTTTTGTCTCATTCAGCGCACCTCCTGGTTCGCGGGACAGCACTGGCGAAATATTCCAACTGAACCATAGCAAGGTTTATCCAAAAAAGTCGCTAGGTTTGTCAGTATGAATATTCTATGGAAAAAAGGGTCTGAAAGTTGCTCAATCTAGTGCTAAAGTCACGCTTGTGTGTGTGAGACGTGGGAGCTGATGGCAGGGGGCGGTGGATATTTGTGGTGGTCAAGGTGGATATTGTGGATGAGTTCTTCTGTGTCATCACGTTCTATTAGTTCTACAGCTTCAGTTTCGGAACTTTCACGCTTAGTAACACATACAGCTGTTCCCCTCAACACAGTGCAACAGTGAAAAGGGACCCCTTTCAAACAGTGTCGTGTTCCGAACGTTGTTTAAGCGACATACACCGGTATTGCGGTATTTTAAAAATTAATATCATAACAAAAATAAACACCGGTATTCGGTATGAACTGGTATACCGCCCAGCACTAATTCCCACTCCACCCTATCGAACGCTTTCTCCGCATCCAATGAAACTACAACTTCAGGGGTAGTGGGAGATGGAGAGAGAATAATGTTAAGTAATCTTCTAGTATTAAAGAAAGAATGCCTCCCCAATGTAAAGCCCATTTGATCCAATAAAATTATGGATGACATGGCATCTTGGAGGCGAAGAGAGAGAACTTTAGCTAAAATTTTACAATCTACGTTTAGCAGAGAAATCGGTCGGTAGTTACTGCAGGAGGTGGGATCCCTGTCTTTCTTTAAAAGCAAGGATATGGATGCCATATACAGAGCCGCCGGTAGTTCACCTTTTTGAAAAGAATCGTTATACATCTTCACCAAAATTAGGACTAGTAAATTAGAATATTCCTTATCAAATTCAACTGTAAACCCATCAGGGCCTGGGGATTTCCCATTCTGCATTAATCTAATGGCTTCTTGGACCTCCTGGGGTGAAATGGGGCTACCTAATTCCTTAGCAGTGTCTTCATCAATTCTAGGGTAATTTAATGAGTCTAAGGGGTTGGGGATCTTTGCTGAACCTGAAGAGTATTCGGAGGTATAAAGGTTAATATAGAAGTCTAAAAAAGCTTTGTTGATTTCAGCTGGGTCTGCAGTAAGATTGCCACTAGAGGAAATAATTCTTGAAATTACCCTAGAGGCACTGGCTGCAGCCTGTTGGGCTAAGAGTGCCCCCGCCTTATCACCATGTTCGAAGAAACGCTGCTTAGTTTGTCGCAGTTGTCTCTCTACATTGTGTGTCATCAAACAGTTATATTCCGATTGTAATACAAGTCGCTTTTTGTAAAGGGTTTGGGAGGGAGAGATGGCGTATATTTCATCAAGTTTGAGAAGTTTTTCTAGAATGTCCTGCCTTTTAGCACG